GAGGTAAGTGGTTACATCATGGGCTGGTGATGTTTGTGGAGTCATGAGGTAAGTGGTTACATCATGGGCTGGTGATGTTTGTGGAATCATCAGGTAGGTGGTTACATCTTGTGTGTTTTAAAATGTTGAAGAAAACTGGAAAATTTTACATGATCTAAATATTGTTAATTATATTCATGAGACAATTTGTTTTTGTATCTTTTCCTCTTGACAAAATGTTGGTAATTTTATAAACAGTTTTACTTGTAATTGATGTAATTAGTAGCTCTGTAATGCTTGAGGTGAAAATAATACATTTTATTAATAGGATTCTATTGGTGAAAATGCGTAATGGTAATGTATGACGTGATAAGACTTGATTATCTGGTTTCTCTATTCTAAATATGACTATTTTCGTAAGCTTCAACCGTTAATTATTGGTTTGGGTTTACATTTTTTTAAAATAAACTTTGGTTTCAGTTTCTTGATCCTTACATTTTGTTTGTTGTTGAAGCTACATGTTATTTCTAAAGTTGTCTCATCATGTTCTTGGTCTAGATGTCTCTATGTGTTTAAAGACACTAAATGATGCTATTTATACTCTGCTCTAAATGACACTTAGCTCACATCACATAATCTCGTTCACATTGGGAACAAACATATCTCTAAACAGTGTACCATGAGAAAGTTCTGTATTCACGGCACAAGTTGTAACATCTGGAAATTTGTGGAGAGTTTGATTTTATTTCTCCAAAAATAACTCATTTTACAAGAGGAGTATATATTATTTAAGAAATGATTTTCATCCATCATTAGTCAACGTTTAAGAATATTGTTTAAATGGTCTGTAAGTGAACTATAATGTTCTAAAAGTGTCATTTTGTGTCAGTCTCTCATTTATGGACAAAGACATGAGAAATCAATAATAATGTGTTATCCAGAAATGTGTTATTTTGAAATCCACGATAAAGAGAACTAACATTCTTCTAAGTTTCTTATCACCGTGTTTGGTCTTGATGTGGGATTGTCATTTAGAACAGCATAACATCTGAAGTTTAATACTGGTAATTCTTTAAACATGTGCACATATCTAGACCAAGAATATGATGAGAACAATTTATAGTTCCAATGACAAACAAGAAACCTTGGCCATCATTTAGAAGAATCAGAGTTTTATCTTCATGATTAAATATGTATTCTGTATGCTTCTGAATATTTTCTAGACAAAATATAATGTAATATTGCCTTGTCCTTAACTGCTGAATGACATCAGTGGACTTGTTTTACAAGTGAATATTCAGCATTCTTGTTTCGTTATTATGTCTCTACAAAGTTGTTTTACACTTTAACAAGTTCACCTTTTTTTGAAAGACTAATTTATTTGACAGAGTGCATGCTTTCCTGGAGCAGTGGGGACTTATAAACTATCAAGTGGATGCTGATAGTAGGCCTACTCCCATGGGTCCTCCATCAACGTCTCACTTCCACGTTCTGGTAGATACACCTTCTGGGCTACAACCCATCAACCCACCTCGAACACAGCAAGTAGGTATTATTGTGAGGGAAGTGTGTGAGTTACTGACCCCAAACAACAAGTTGTACTTGTTTTCGTGAGGGAAGTGTGTAGGTAATTCACCTGAACACTAGTAGTAGTAGTTTTGGTGAGGGAAGAGTGTAGGTAACTCACCTGAACACTAGTAGTAGTAGTTTTGGTGAGGGAAGAGTGTAGGTAACTCACCTGAACACTAGTAGTAGTAGTGATTCGTGAGGGAAGAGTGTAGGTAACTCACCTGAACACTAGTAGTAGTAGTTTTGGTGAGGGAAGAGTGTAGGTAACTCACCTGAACACTAGTAGTAGTAGTTTTGGTGAGGGAAGAGTGTAGGTAACTCACCT